CTGACGGGGACGGGGTGTCAGCCCAGAGAAAGGGGCCGAGGTCATCCGACTCCAGCATGCTCTGGCAACTCCGCAACTCATGCTGGCACCTTGTAGGGGAGAGAGGGGGAGGGAGGTGTCTGCAGGGGAGTGGGAAGAGGGCTGTGTGTAGAGAGGGAAGAGAGAGCTGTGTACAGGGGAGCAGGAAGAGGGCTGTGTGCAGGGGAGCGGGGAGAGGGCTGTGTATAGGGGAAGAGAGAGAGTGTGTGCAGGGAGAGGGAAGGGATGGGGTTGCAGGGGAGAGAGGAAGAGAAGGTGTGTGTGCAGGGGAAGGAATGCACACAGGAGAGGGAGAGGAGGGTGTGCGCTTTGCACAGGGCGTCCCCACACAGGGCCAGCGTCCTCTCTTCCGCACACATTCCCCAAGGAAACATTTCTGTGACCTGCTCAAGAGGACTCTGTGTCACCCTGGGCAGAGCCAGCAGGTGGGAAGCGGGCGTGAGGCTGGGTCACGTGACAGGAAGTGGCCTGTGAGGAGGGACGGAGCCAGTCCTTGCCCGCGATCCCACAGGGGAGGAGGGCTGCGTGGATCACTCAGGGCCTAGGAAGAAGCATTCCCCACTGACCAGTTCAGTGCTTAAATGTGCCCATGACACTGTGTCACTGAAACCTAGTCAGGAACAGCTTGACTAGGGTCAATCTCATAGTGATTCAGTGAAAAATAAAAAAAAAAAAGAAAGAAAGAAAAAAATCTTGGGGGAAAATAAATAAATAAATGAGATGTCAGTGACTCTGAAAACACTTTAAAAGAAAAATAAATAAATAAATAAAAGAAATTCAACGCGATTTGGAGAAAAGTTTAAAAATCAAAATGAATGTGCTGTTTCAGAAAAAAAGTAAAATAGAATAAAATAAAAATAACTATTCCCATTACGCGATGTCCCACTTGACAGTCTCGTCATTCGTGGGGCTCAGAAACAAAGGAGACCTCCTAGAGGAAATTCTAATTTTGGATGTTGAAAAAAAAACAAAAAAAAGAAAGTCCTGGGTTTGAAGGAAAAGCAATTTTCCACTTTGTACCTTTAAAAGCATTCCATGTCATTCCGCTGTAATTGCCGTTAAAATGGGTGCGTTGGCAGTGGCGGCGGCTGCTTCCGTCTGTCTGCCAGGCACCTGGGGCCCGAGCCGACCCCCTCTCCCAGCCCCCTGACACCCCTTGCCCACTCTCGGCAGCCCCTTCCACATTCCTGCCCAGGACATCACTGTCCTTCCTCCAGGACCCAGGCCGGTGACCGCCTTAGCGTTTTCACACAACCCTTTCGTCCACCTTCATCCCGACTCTGCCAACACCTTCCCCAACAGCTCACTAGGCTTTCTGGCCCTTTTCCAGGTCAGCTCTTCGCGCTTCTCCATCTCTCTGGTCTCAGAGCCTCGTTGCCATCTTCTGTCTCTCCCAGAGCGGAAGTCTCTCCTTAGGGTCTGGGTGCTCCTGGCTCGAGGGCGCCCCCCCCCCACTGGACCCTGCAGGGCGTGGCACTGCCAAGTGAGGTATCACCGGCGTTTCCAGAAGGGGACCTTTTGTTGGTCGCCTTGCCTTTGTGGCTTTCAGGGTTTGGGGTTCGAGAGACAGGAACCCCGGAACCCCCTCCTTCCCCTTCCTAAGCAGCGTTCCCCCTGGCCATTGGGCGTGGCCCCGTCTCCAGATCATGGGTGCCACCCCCAGCCCAGAGGACGGGGGCACCCCCACAAACTGAGCCCTACGATGGGCGTGGGAAGCGCCCCAGGGGCAGGGGGAGGTTGCCCGCAGCCCGGGCTCCCCTCTGCCCCCAGATGTTCCACCTCTCGGACTCTGCTCCACCCGGCCACCCCATTGTGTGGCCACTGCAGCCACGCGCCTCTTCCTGGCTTGGCTGGTGCCTCATCATCTACAGTTCCGGGAGCTGAAGGGGTCGGTCCCCTCTGCCCCAGGAGCCCCCAAGGCCGCTCCCCAGCACCCTCCTCCTCCTCCCCCTCCGAGCCCTTAGGGGGCTGGGAAGTGGGGCCCGTTGCTGGGCTGGAGGAGTTTTTCCTCTGCGAGTTCTTGCTCTGGGCCCGCGGATTCCTCTGAGTCTGGGAATCAGCATTCGGCCACTCCTGCCAGGACTTGGGTGGAGACGGCACCTCCTCCGACATTGTTCTCGAAGGATGCAGCGGGGGAACGGGGGTTATCCAGCCGCGACAGGGAGTGGGAGCAAGAGCAAGCCTTACAGGTGCCGGGCAGAGGTGCCGGGAGCAGCCAGGTTGGGCCGTCCTTTGCGCCTTGCTGTAGAAAAGGATCCTGTGAAAGGGGTGTGGAGCCTGAGGCGGCCCTGTGGGACCCCCGCTGAGAGGCAGCAGAGGGGACCCTGGGGAAGGAAGGTGGAAGAAGGGAGCGGGAGGCTGGGACACGCCTTTCACAAACAGCCCTGAACTCTGTTGTGTGTGTGTGTGTGTGTGCGTGTGTGTGTGCGCGTGTGTGCGTGTGTGTGCCTGTGTGTGTATGCATGGGGGGGGTTGGGTTTGGGGGCCACACCCAGTGGGTTTCCTCTCAGATCTGTGCTCAGGGCTCACTGCTGGTAGTGCTCATGGGCCATACAGAGCAGAGGGGATCGAACCCGGGCCAGCTGCATGCAAGGCAAGTGCCTTCAGCCCCGTCCTCTCTCCAGCCCCTGGACCGTCTCCGAAGCACCCTCCCCATTGCACACCCGGCCACAGACATGCAGGGCTAGCATTTCCCCATGAGCCCACGTTTCTCGTGGGAACTTCCTCCTTCAAGAGACACCTCCAGAGTTTTCTATTGTGTCTGAGTTGCCTTCCTACCCCAGCTGTGACACAGTGCTGCGTGTCTGTGGGCGTGCAAGATCCTTTCAAACGAGCGTTCCTGTGTTTCGGGAGGGGGTAGAAGCTAGAAATGGGCTTGCTGAATCGAACCTGAGCTCCTGCCTTACTTTGGGGGAGATCTCCTTGTTGTTTTCCATCAGGGCTAGACAAGATGACACCCCCCTCCCCAATGGCAAGGAGTCTCCTTTCCACTGCACCATGTTCAACACTTGCTTCTAGCCTCTCACTGTCACTGTCACTGTCCTTCTGTTGTTCACCAATTTGCTCCAGCGGGCCCAGTAACATTGTGAGACTTGTTGTTACTGTGTTTGGCAGATCGAATACGTCACGGGGAGCTTGCCAGGCTCTGCCGTGCGGGCGAGATCCTCTCGGTCGCTTGCCGGGCTCTCTTAGAGGGGCGGAGGAATCGAACTCGGGTCAGCTGTGTTGGCTGCGTGCAAACGCCCTACCCGCTGTGCTACCGCTCCAGCCCACTTCTAGCCTAATTTTTTATATCTGTATATATAGACCATAGTCACTGAGCAAAGAGATACATCATGCTAAGCAAAACGATCCAGGAGAACAGACCCAGGCCCAGGATGGCCCCCCTGCCCTGTGGTCTCTAGAGAAATGAGTCAAGGGCACAGACAGTATCAACCCCAAACAAACCGTGGGTGCTGGGCCCCGTTGAATGCCAGGTCTGGAGGGGGCGCAGGACAGTTAGGCTGACTGGAAGTAACAGGGGTATTTGTGGAGTGTCTGAAGCACACGGATGGTGCTGAGGGAGGGGACAACGTGCCCCAAATGCACGACTGTCCGAGGAGAGGTGGCGGGGTTGAGGGAGGAAGCTCAGACCAGAGGTGACCGGGGGACACTGGTAGAGAGTCTACCGGGTATGGTCCCCCCAAAGCTCAGGCCGGAGCTGAATGTGGCACCCCCCAAAAAAATAAACAGAAAAAGTTCTCAGCAAACCACTCCAAATAGAGCTCGTTTCCAGCTCAGGAGGACCCCTCCCAGGATGCCCCCAGACCCAGAACCCACGGACAGCAGCTGCCACCTCCTATAGTCAAGCTTGGGGTCACAGCCCCCCAAAGAGCAAGCTTCCAGCCTGCACCCCTGGGGTACCCTCTGGGAGTGCCAGGTGCTGCAGAGACCTTCGTGCTTGGGCAAGGGTGCCCTGCTGCCTCCCAGCCCCGTGGGCTTCCCTGTGGCCAGCAACTTTCTGTCCACTCTGAGTGGACACAGCGTCCACACTGGACTCGGGCCCAGCCTCCCGCTGCCCTTCTCCTCTGCCCCCCTCCCCCCGTGACTACTCTCTGCTCAGTTGAAGGAAGATGCACTGTCCTCAAGGGTGGTGCATTTCCAGTGTCTCAGGAAAGCCAGATGGATTCACACCCCTGCGCGCCCTTTCTCTGGCCAGCCTGGCCACTGTCGGGCGAGTGGGTCAGTCAGTCAGTGGCTTCAGACGTGGGCAGGTGCTCAGCAGGTGCTCGTGAAGGGACCCGGCGTGTGTGGGGAGAGGAAAGTCTTTAGTGGGGTTGATTTTCAAATCGACGGAAGCCAGGTTACCAAGGAGAAAAAAACTCACGGAGGGCCCAGAGCGATACCACACAGGGAAGGTACTGGCCTTGCACGCAGCCCGTCCGGGTTCGATCCCCGGCATCCATGTGGTCCCCTGAGCACAGCCAGGGGTGATCCCTGTTTGCAGAGCCAGGAGTCAGCCCTGAGCACCGCCGGGTGTGGCCCCCTGCACAAAAGAAAACAATAACAAAAAAACTCACTGAATTTTTGTAGGCCACGATCCCCGTGTACCTGAGGGGTCCACGGAGTAAGGGTAAAGCGAGGGCCAGGTGCCACCTGAGCTAGGGAGGGACAGGGCCGGGGGCCCTAACGGGGAGGAGGGTGACTCCGGGGGCTGAGAGGAGCAGGCCGGGGGGAAGAGACTTTCCTAGTCATCGGGGGCTTCTGGCATTGCGGCTTCCTCTGGTCACCTTGGAGGGACTTCTGTCCCACGTGAGGAGAACCGAGTGCCTGGGGCATCCGGAGTGTTCTCTGAGCACTGAAGCTAGTGGCTAGTTGTGTTATCCTGTGTCCTGGGGTGGGGTGGGGCTGGGGCTTCCCCAGGGGGAGAAGACGTGTCACTAATGGATTTCCTTTTTGTCTTTCTCTGCCTCTCGTTTCAGAACGGTTTGATCACCACTGTCCCTGGGTAGGCAACTGTGTGGGGAAAAGGAACTACAGATTTTTTTATATGTTTATTTTATCTCTGTCTTTTCTGACAGTCTTTATATTCGCGTTCGTTATCACCCACGTCATCCTTCGTAAGTATGCTCTGGCAAGCTCGGGTTCCCTACGTGACCGTTTGCCTGACTTGTGGTTTTCGGGTTTGATTTTGATTTGCTCCTCTGATCACTTCCGGCTTTCTCTTCCTTCTCTTCCCCTCCCCTGCCCCTTCCTCGCTTCCTGCCTGTCCCCCTTCCTCTCCCACCGTGCTCCCTCCCTGTCCAGAATAGCCCCAGTTGAACCAGCTCCCTCCTTTCCACAAAGACCTTCCTTCCCCCGAGGGCCATAAAGATGGCTCAATGGGCTGCGCACATGCTTTGCATGCGGGAGAGCCAGTGTTCAACCCCAGCGCTACGTGGTCCCACTAACACCTAGCACCTACCCTCAGCAGGGACAACCCTGAACACTGCCAGATGTGTGTCCCCCACCCTCTCCAAAAAAAAAAAAAACATGAGAAAAGACCTTTTCTCACCCCATTCCCCATTCTGCAAGGGCCCCCTGGGAGAATCAGCCTCATGCTGCTACAGGGCTAAAGCATCAGGGATACCCACCAAGGGGCAAAACGTTCTGGGTCTTTACTATGACCGTGACTTAACACGCTCCTGGGGAAGCTCGGGGCCCTGGTGCGGACCTTCAGACAAGCCGGTCTGCATGTCACAGGTGCCAGGACTGGCCTGAGCAAGCCCAGCTTACAGAGGGGGCAGCTGTGCCAGTGCAAGTGGATCGTCCACCCCCACTCTGCAGGCCAGGGGTGGATCTCCAAGTCTCTGGGGGGCTCTTCTGCACTCAGAACAAGGAGCGGAGGGGTGAGGTAGGGGCTCGGGCCCACCCAGACCGGCCTCGACATGTCATGGTGCTTTCAGCAGCGCGTAGACCGGCCTGGGTGCTTGCCTGAGGTCAGCCCCCCGGGGTCCCCCGTAGGGGCGAGGGGAGGGGGGCAGTGCAGAAATGAAGCCTTCCTTCTTTCCACACGCAGAAACGTGTGCTGCTCCACATGTTCACGGCATCCCAGAGCCTATCTGCGAGCAGCACGCATGTGGGCGGAGCATGTCATGGGGCTGACACGTCCTCTGGGCTGTTAGGAGGAGAGTTGGCCTGGCCACTCCTCCTGCAAGGAGGCCTCACTCCCGCCAGGGGTCGAACCCAGGCGCCCTCATGCAAAGTTCTCCTGCCCCCTGAACTTCTCCTGGGCCCCGCAGAGTCACACTTCTGTGTCCCGGTTGGACAGGGGGCAACACCGGGCACGGGTTCGATCTGAGTCTGAGCAGAAGCAGCAGAGAGAAGCAGCAACTGTTACGCAAGGACCATTATCCCAGTAGACCTGTGACCCTAAAACCAAGGATTGAGACATATCTGAGATCATTTTTAGCATCTTCGAGATGCTTCTGTATGGATGTCCCCATGCTATTGATGGTCTGCGCTGATACTCTGCATATGGATTCTCAACTCATACATGAGTTCTCGGCTCTAGGAATGAACATGCCCTCGTGAAATATGCATTCACAGATACACACTCATGCACGTATGCTCAGATGCACACGCTCCCCCCCCCCCCACACACACACTCACATGTATACATAAGTGGACTCTCAAGGATATATACTCACAGCACAAACCCACATGCACATCCACAAACACACATGAACGCACATCCACACTCACACATGCATACACACACACTCACACATATACACTCACACACATACATACTCCCACACCACACACTTTTACACACACATGCATGTACACACTCACACATGCACACTCTCACATACACACATTTACACACACACACACTCATACACGCATTGTCACCCACGTACATAGCGGAGCCAGCCCGGTGCCAGCACCATTGGGTGATATCCACGTCACTGTCCTTCCCTCCCAAGTCCCCTTCACTGCAGTTTGCTGCAGTATGTTTAGAACTATTGTATCCGCCATAGTTCACCTGCATGCAACTTACTGGGATTTTTATTTATTTATTTATTTGTTTATTTATTTATTTGCTTTCTGGGTCACATCTGGCAATGCACAGGGGTTACTCCTGGCTCATGCACTCAGGAATCACTCCTGGCGGTGCTCGAAGGACCATATGGGATGCTGGGAATCGAGCCCGGGTTGGCCACATGCAAGGCAAACGCCCTCCCCGCTGTGCTATCGTTCCAGCCCCTGCTGCCATTTTCTTGTTAAACAACTTTGACGGTGGCGTCTGGTCTCTGGCCCCTAGCTCTGACCCAGAGGCACCACAGCACATGCAAAATCCCGTGTTCCCAGGGCCGCCGGGAGGGAGAGGGAGCCCTTTGTCAGGTGGGCTGTGGGGGTTTCGGTGAAGGACACTCAGTCGCCTTCTCTCCCCTGCAGGCTCTCAGCAAACCGGGTTCCTGACGGCGCTGAAGGACAGTCCTGCCAGATATCCTTTTTCGTGTCCCATGCAGCCTGGCTCCCCTCCAGAGGATGGCCTGGGGCTCAGACCTGCAGGAGGGCAGTGCTCCCCGTGAGGGTCCTCTCACCTTTTACCAGGGCCTGTGCAGATGTGGGCGCCCCCAGGTTGGCTTAGAGCCCCTCGGGTTGGATGCACCTTCAGTTCCTTTGGCTCGACAGGAGGGTCCCTAGAGAACAGCTGTGGGTGCCCTTGGTGGTTTGCAGTCATGGGGTGGGCCCGGCGGGCACCCTCTGACCTCGGTGTGGATTCCCCTGGGCAGTGTGACCCCTGAGCAGAGGCTGCTTCCCGGGCTTATTTCCAGACACAGAGCCTTCTTTCTGCCGTGACCCCAGAGCACTCATTGGTCCCTCATGGGTCACTCGCTGGCTCTCCCCAGTGAACACGGGCCGGTACCTGGGTATTTTGATCATATTCTTCTTCCGTTTTTGTGTTGGAGTCCACACGGTCATGCTCAGGGCTCCTTCCTGGCGTTGCTCGGGGGACCGTATGGGGTGCTGGAACTTGGGTTCAGGTCAGCTGAGTGCAAGGCCAGCTCCCTGCCTGCTGTGCTATCATCCTGGCCCCAGCTTTGGTCTTCTTGGGGGACAGGTTGACACATGAAGCCCTTAGCTGGGGTTCCTGCTCCCCCTCTTGACACCTCGGTCATACCTGAGATGGTGTCGTGTCCGCCAGCAGCATGTCTCAGCCACAGAGGGGAAGTTTCCCCAGGGCCGGCAACAGCTGTGGCCCCACTGGGCTGAGTGAAGCATGTTTCACAGTCTCGACCGATGTACCAGCCTGTCCCCTGGAGAACTGTTCAAATCCCTGCTCAGGTGCCCTCCGTGCTGTGATTGGACAGCAGGTTGCCCCAGGTCAGGTGTGGGGCTTGTGTCTTCATGTCCATTTCCTGGAGCGTCTGTCCGGATGGCCTCTGCACCTCTTCGTATTTACTGACCTTTTATTTTCCTTGTGGGCCAGTTCAGAACCTTTATCCTCTTTTTTTTTCTTTTTGTGTCACACTAAGCGATGCTCAGGGATTGCTCCTGGCTCTGCACTCAGGAATTACTCCTGGCAGTGCTGGGGGGACCCTATGGGATGCTGGGATGCCGGGGATCGAACCCAGGTTGGCTGCATGCAAGGCAAATGCACTAGCCACTGTGCTATCGCTCCGACCCCCACCTTTATCCATTTTTTTAAATTCTATTTTATTTTTATGAAGTAGTTCACAATATTTGATTACATTTACTATTCAAACATCCTTCCCACCACCATATTTGGGATTTTTTCCATCCCGAACCCCAGCCCTTGCCCCAAAGCAGAACCAAAATAATTTATTTTGTATTGTTTGTTATTGAAAAACACTGAAAATGCTACTAGAAAGTATCCTTAGAGGAAAGAGTGAAGATTGTTGTATTACTCCCAGGGGCCATTAAGCCCTTCCATAAGAGATCACTAATATGTTGTTAGATGTTGAGCCTTGTGTGCTTATATCTATATAAGTAAAAATATATTTCCCTACTTCCCTCTAAGGTTGGTTGCCTTCTACTTTAAACCACATCAGAGGTGGTGCACTACTCTTGGAATACGAGTGTTGTGAGGTATGAGATGTCCAGGGATAAGTTCCCTCGTGAGTGAGGCCTGTTCAACGTGTGGAGAGCGGCCGTGAGCTTGGTGTTGGTTGAGTTCTGAAGGATTTTGGTTGCCGGTGCTGGGTCCCTTGGGGCAGGGACCTTTGTTTATTTTTAATTGGTGTTTTATCTTCCGTGAACTCATTCTTTTGTAATTCCAGTAAATCTCTTTCACCATTTTTTTTCTTCCAATCTGTTAAAACAGAGTATGACTTTTAGGAGTTTTTTTGTTTGTTTTTTTGTGGGATTTGGGGGGGGGTAGGTTGCACACCTGGCAATGCTCAGGGGTTACTCCTTACCTTGCACTGAGGAATTATTCCCGATGGTGCTCAGCGGACAATATGGGACCAAACCCGGGTCGGCTGTGTGCAAGGCAATCTCCCATCTCTCTGCTGTGCTATCACGCCCTCACCAAAAAAGCATGATTTCTTAGAGCCAGGGAAATGCCTCAGAGGGCTGGAGCACAGGCCTGGCATGCCCGAGGCCCCGGGTTTGGTGCCCTGCCCCAAAGATCCTTCAGAGCCCAGCTGGGTGCAACCACAGGGGCCCAGTGCCACTGAAAGTGCCCTCAGGCTGAGCGTTCCGGGCAGAGTACCCACTAGCTGGCCTGCAGGCTCCTGGGCTCTGCTAAGGGTTCCCCAGATTATTGTCCGTGTTCTCCAGGGTTCCTGGGCTCTGTGTCTGCTGACCACCCACAGATCACCTGACCTTTACCTGTGCTTCTCCCAAATGCCTTTCCCTTTGCTCCTGAGGCCATACGGGCATTTATCTGTCAGGTGAGTCTATGTGGGGGGGGATGAGGTCAGGTTTTGACTATTTTTCCCAGCCAGGTCCAAATCCCACTTGCTACTCTTTTGCAGCAGCTCCCAAATTTGGGTCTCTGAACTCATTTGCTGGAGCGATAGCACAGCGGTAGGGTGTTTGCCTTGCATGCGGCCAACCCGACCGACCTGGGTTCAGTTCCTCCGCCCCTCTCGGAGAGCCCGGCAAGCTACCGAGAGGATCTCGCCCTCACAGCAAAGCCTGGCAAGCTCCCCGTGACGTATTCGATATGCCAAACACAGTAACAACAAGTCTCACGATGGAGACGTTACTGGGCCCACTGGAGCAAATCGATAAAACGGGAGGACAGTGCTACAGTGCTACAGAACTCATTTACTCTTTAAAACACCAAGTGACCGGGGGGAAGGGGCAGACGCTGGAGAGATGACACAGTGGTCCGGGCACTTCCCTTGCATGCGGCCCACTCGGGTTCAATTCCCCAGCACCCCATAGGGTTCTCCTGAGCACTGCCAGGAGTGATCGCTGAGTGCAGAGCCAGGAGTCAGCCCTGAGCACCACCGGTCTGGCCCCAAACACACCAACATACAAAATCGCAAGCAATTTTCGGGGGTGGGGGGGTGCGGTGTAAGGCCTGTTCCTCCTGCCCATGGTGGAAACAGCGCCCCTCCGCCCAACCCCGCTCCTGCAGATGGCAGGAAGCCACAGAGAAGGGCACCAGAGGGGAGTCATGGCCGTGCCGTGATGGGGTGGAGGTGTGGGTGACCTGAAGCACCCCGGCAGGGTCCGGCAGGGCCTGTGCCTACAGCAGCCTCACAGGGAGGCCGGGCCGCTCTCCCTGATTTGTGGCCAGTCCTCTTGCTGCCCTCTGCCCACTGCCTGGGTGGGCTCTGCCCTGCCACCTGCCCTCCTAGAACTCATGTGGTCCTGACGCCCTGGCTCCCGTCCCAGGAGCAGAGGTTTCGTTTTTGTTTTTCGTCGTTTTCCGTTTTTTTGTGTTTTTGTTTTTGTTGTTGTTTTTCTCTTTTTTGGGTCACACTGACGATGCCCAGGGGTTACTCCTGGTTCTGCACTCAGGAATCACTCCTGGCAGTGCTCCAGGGGACCACATGGGATGCTGGGAATTCAACCTGGGTCGGCCACATGCAAGGCAAACACCCTGCCCGCTGTGATATTGCTCCAGCCCCACGGTTTCCATTTTAGAGCTCAGCCAGCAGTGCTCCTCTGTGCTCTCTGCTTTGCGACCACCCTGGAGAAGCAAGGGTGGGGTGGGGGGGAAGGTTGTCGACAACTTGGGTCACAAGGAAAAGGCAAAAGTCGGGGTGGAGGGTGACTGGGGGCAGTCGCGTCCAGAACCCCCCGCCCTCTTTCCCAGGGGGAGTGAGGGCTAGCTGGAGAGGCCAGGGTGACCTGTGGGGGCCCCAGCAGGCAGCTGTGCCCGTGTGCAGGGTTCGAACTGCCCAGCGTCTGGCCTGCTGTGCTCCTTGACTCGGGCACCGTGCTGGAGGCCGTCGTGTGTTTCTTCTCCGTGTGGTCCATCGTGGGGCTGTCGGGCTTCCACACCTACCTGATCAGCTCCAACCAGACCACCAACGAGGACGTGAGTTCCCGGCACGGCAGGAGGGTGGAGGGATGAAGAAGGGGGTGCAATCACCATGGGGGCACCAGCCCAGCCCACTTCGTCCCCCTGGGAGTCATGCCTGTTGCAGAGGTCGCTGGGTGCACCCCAAGAGGGCAATGTCCAGGGAAGGGCCACTGGGCACGGCTGAGAGCCTGGCCAGCCTCCCCCGATCTTCTGCGCCAGCAGAGCACAGGGAAGGATGGACACCCCAAGTTCCACTGCGGGGACAGGGCAGTGGGGGAGAGGGGCGGGCGTGAAGCAGGAAGGTCCGCTGCCCTTGGAGCCTCAGAACACAGGGCTGGACGGGGCGGCCATCAGAACCCCAGGGTCCCTCTGGCAGCATCTCAGGGCTGGGTCAGACCATCAGCCTGTGGGGACCTGGGGGCCACAGGGACGTATGGGCGTTACCCCAGGCCACTCTGTTTAGCACCACGAAGAGGAGACTGAGCCTGTTGGACCAGTGTGGCCGTGTGATGGGTCAGGGCCAGTGAGGTGACCGCACAGACGTCTGGTTGTCACGGGCCTGGGAGAGAGCGGGGCTGGGGCTTGCCTGACATGCGGCTGACCCTGCTCTGGAACCAACCCTTGGTCCCCAAGCCCGGCTGGAGGTCAGTCCTGAGCACGGCTGGGTGTGACCCCCTGAGAACGGCCTCCCTGGCCCCTCTCACCTGCTGTTTGAGGTAGGGGGTTGGGGGCATTCCAGGTGGGGTAGAGGAATCCCAGCCCCGCGGCGGTGCTGAGGAGGAAGCCAGTATCCCTCTGGGCTCTCTGGGAAGAGCAGCTACGTCTCTCACCGATGACTGTCCCCATGCAGATCAAAGGCTCCTGGTCAAATAAACGAGGGAAAGAGAACTACAACCCCTACAGCTACGGGAACATCTTCACCAACTGCTGCGTGGCCCTGTGTGGGCCCGTCTCTCCCAGGTGAGAACCGCAGGGGACTCAGGGGGAGATCTGGGGGGACAGGGAGGAGGCCTCTGCAGGTGTGAGATGTGACGATGGGCGAGCCTGGGAAGGGTGTGTGGGAAGGGGCCCATATGCCAGACCCCAGCACGCCGCGGGGATTTGTGGTCCAGGTCTCAGAGCCTGAGAGACTCTGTGCTGGGCTGCAGGCTGGCCAGTCGGTGCCCAGAGCCTGCCCCCGGGAGGCCAACAGGCCCTGGCAGGTCTGCCGGCAGGAACGGTGTGGTACAGACGCCGTGACTGGGAGGGGGCCACATGTGCCCTTGGTCTGCCCAGCCACTTCTCCCTCGCCATGCAGTGACCAAGGGTGAGCAAAGTAGGGAAACTGCATCCGCACCCCGCAGAGCCCCATGCACTTAGAGGCCATTGCTGGCCGTGACTGTCACAAGCTCATGGGACGCAGACCTCGTCTTTCTCTGTCAGCCTCCAGGACACCCCCTCAGCCTGCACACTCGGGCACTCGGCCCCCCGAGTCGCTTCTGGGTTGCTGCTAAGTCCTGGCTCCTGGCCATGAGGAATGGCCGGCATGGGCCTTCCTGAAGGGGGGACTCCAGATCCCCCTGGTTTGCCACCCTGCGGGGGGCTGGCAGGAGGGAGCAGCCAAGGGCTCTGGAGGGAGGACACAGTTCCCTGCACAGCCCCTGGAGGTGGGCACTGCAGGGTAGCATGGTGGTGGGGAGGGGTTGGAGGGGGAGGGAATAGCCAGTTCCAAGAGTCCACGAACAGACCTCAAGGGGAGGACAGGGACAGCCAAGGGGTCAGGGCTGTTTCTCGGGAGCTGGTGAGGACCCGGTGGACCCCCACTTCTAGCTTGATGTCTGATGTCCAGCGACTTTCAGTGATGGAGAAGGCCCGTCCTGCCCTGGGAGTGGGGGACAGCAGGATGGGGGGTGCAGGGGTGCGGGGGCACAGCTCTACCAGGGCTGGCAGGGTGAGCGGTGGACACTGTCCTCAGAGCCTGCAGGAGGCTTTGCAGAGACACCTGGACAAGGTCCCTGGGATACCATGTGTCACCTGGGAGCAGAGCACTGAGTTCAGGGAGGAAGCAGGCGCCAGCCCTATGCAAATGAGGTTTACGGAAGCGACCAATCAGAGCACTGGAGCACTGTCCTCCCGTTGTTCATCATTTGACTCGAGCGGGCCCAGTAGCATCTCCATTGTGAGACTTTTTGTTGCTGTGTTTGGCATATCGAATACGTCACGGGTAGCTTGCCAGGCTTTGCCGTGTGGGCGAGATGCTCTCGGTAGCTTGCCGGGCTCTCCAAGAAGGGCGGAGGAATTGAACCCGGGCTGACCAGGTCGGCCTCATGCAAGGCAAACGCCCTACCCACTGTGCTATTGCTCCAGCCATTAATTTTCATGCATTTCACAAACTGTGGAATGCTTAATGTTATGTACAAGAAAGTTAACACACTTCCATATGGGACCATGATTCCACAGAGCTTCAGTTGTCCCAATAGGCCTCATCCGTATGGATTTTCTTTCCTTCCGTAGGGAGAAAATGTTAGTGGGATGTCACAGAAGCTCTTTTAAGACCTCCACAGCCACTTTCTATTAAACCAACTGAGATTTTAATCTTTCCTTAATATTCTTTGTTCCAAGAAATCTGTCTCACTGTTACTAAAAAGATTAAGACAAAGCAGTATTTTCCCCCCATTTAACCAAAACAACAAACATTTCAAACAAATATATCTAATTTTCATAATGTTTCCCTTTCGAATCAAATGAGATTTTATTTATCGGCAGGTCTGAATAGTTCAATAGTTCATGCATGTAAATGATGGGCCCCCTCGACTCCCTCCCTGCAGGGCCCCGAGAAGGCGTCCTGCCAGGTGCAGGGACCCTGGGCAGGCCTGGGCACTGGGAACTTGCTGGTCGCCTGGGCCTGGGCAGAGCCGAGAAGCTCATAGTGGGGGACCAGCAGCCAGTGGGAGGCCAGGGCCCCTGCAGGTGGCGGGAGGGGACTGTGCGGAGACAGAGGCTCTGGCCTTTTGAAAGGGGGAGCGAAAGGTGTGACCCCTGACTGCAGGTGCAGGGGGCGGAGGGGATGGAGGGGACAGGCTGTGGTCTGTGCTCACTCTCGCCCACCCTCCCCGCAGCCTCATCGACCGAAGAGGGTACATCCAGCCCGACACACCACAGCCGGCCGCGCCGTCCAACGGGATGCTGGCCTACGGGGCCACCCAGTCGCAGAGTGACATGGTAGGGCCCCCTGCCACCCAGCCCCTGCCTCTGCCCAGACAGCTGCTGGGCCGGTCTCCTGGGAGGAGTAGGGAGCTGCACACAGAAACTTCCAGAAGCACCTGGCAAGGAAGACCCACTCGCTAGACAGAGACCGCAGGAAGAGCCGCTCTCTCTGCGCTTATGTGCACGGAGGGAAGGAGCCCTGGGCTGCTTCCCTGCTTCCCTGATCGGACACAGTGGGCAGGGAGCATGTGTGTGTGTGTGTGTGTGTGTGTGTGTGTGTGTGTGTGTGTGTGTGCGCGCATATGTGTGTGTGCATATGTGTGTGAGTATATGTATGTGTTTGTGCCTGTGTGAGTGTGTGCATATGTGAGTGTGTGTATGTGAGTGTGTGTGAGTGTGTGTATGTGAGAGTGTGTGTGTTTGTGCATGTGTGAGAGTGTATGTGAATGTGAGTGTGGGTGCCTATGAGTGTGTACATGTGTGTATATGTGTGTGCGAGTGTGTGTGCGTGTGTGAATGTGTGCGTATGTATGTGAGTGTGTATGTCCGCATGTGTGTGAAAGTGTGTGTGCTTGTGTGTGTGTGAATGTGTGTGAGAGTATGTGTGTTTGTGCATGTGTGAGTGTGTGCATGTTTGTATATGTATGAATGTTTGTGAGTGTGTGTGCGTGTGTATGTGCGTGTGTGTGTGAGGCCTGGTCTGGTCCAACCACATGAGTGATATTGCCACCGTTGCCAATGGCCTGGAGAGCAGGGAGTCCCATTCGAGTCCTGTGTCCGGTGAAGCTTCGTGTCCCTCATCCACAGAGAGGGCCCTGGACCTGTGTAGCCCCACGCCCTGGGCACGCAGCAGAAAGGACGTCTCAGCCATCACCCTCCTCCCACCCCCTCCTCTCCTCCTCCTTCCCTTCCTCCTCCCCTTTTCTCCATCCTCCTCCTCCTGCACCCCCCCACCCTGGCCAACAACCCCACAACACCCCTCCCCTGAGACTGGGCCCACAGCCCCACTGCCGCTTGTCCAGGACAAGCCCGCCTGGCTGTGACCCGTGGCCTTCTGCTGCTGGTGTCCTGCAGGTTTTATGGCCTTGTTGACAAAGATTCCTTGGTTTTCTTTCTCGGGGTGTCTGTGGAGCTGTCGAGGCAGCACAGGCCCTGTTGAGCAACAGTAAGAAGAGTTTTCTCTCTTCTGTTTCGTCAAAGAATCAGAGAAGACTTTGGGGTGTGTTTTGTAAAGGCCGGGAGACCCCAGAAGTGCCGTCGCAGTGCAGGGACTGTTTCCCCTCAGTGCCAGCCTAGCACTTGTCTTCAGTGTTGGGGGTTTGTGTGTTGACCTGGTTTGGGAAGCACACCCAGTGGTGCTCAGGGCCTATTCCTGGCTCAATGCTCAGGGTTCACCCCTTACAGTGCTCGGGACCATAATCAGGACTGAGCTGGGGTCAGCTGCATGCACGGCCAGCCTGCTGGGCCCCGTTACCTCTCCCTGGGCCCTTCACTGTGCGAACAGGTGAAGGAAGAACTCTGCCTAAAGATTCCACGTGGAGTCCTGTGCGTGCATGTGCGTGTGACTGTGTACATGTGCATGTGTGTATGTATGTGAGTGTGTATGTGTGCTCTCGTTTGCAGGGTGAGAAGCGGGCTCACCCGCGTCTTCGTGAAAGGCGAGAAGCTTCACCTGCATCTAGGTGAGGGAGAGGCAGAATCAGCCTCGTGTTTTCCTGACGTGCTGTAGAACACCTGGGCAGTCCCAGCCGAGGGCACTGGACCGATGACATGGTCAGGAGCAGCGGGCCCCACAGACGCTCCAGAAGGTCCAAATGTGTGGATAGTGCATTATAATGCATGCTCGTTTCTCGAAACGTTCCCTTCCTTCACTTGCCCAGCCAAGACCATCCCAGAATCAAGCCAGAGCCATATGGCTCGAGGGACACCCCCCCCACCAAGCCCCCAAAGTTTCCAGGCTCTGGTTCTGCAGGAGGCTTCGGACCCTGCCGCCTGCACATTTCGTAGTGCCCCCAGCAGTGGGACCGCCTGCCTGCACCCTCCCCTCTGCGTCTCTCACTGGAGCTTTGTTAGAGCCCGTGTTCTTGTACCCTGACACCCCCACTAGGAAATGAGGAGGCAGGTGCATAGGCCTTTCTTGCCGAGTTCACACAAATTGCAGGTGCCTTCCGGAAAGTTCTCCACAGCAGAGAGCTCTTGGCAGTTGGCAGGTCGTGGCTGATATTGACGCCGTGATTGTAAGGATTATTTCATTTCAGCCCTCCAGAAACCTACCAGCAGTTTCTGAGTTACAGAGCACAAGACAGTTTACTTGTGCAAAGCCACACGGCAGAGATTCAAGGCCGCACAACTATGGTGCGTCCACGCCCCTGTGAACAGGCCCTCTGGTCAGGGGACCCCGAAGGACCCGCCTCTTAGCTCTGGGAGCAGAGGTCACCCTCCCGGGCTCCCGGTTCGCAGGCAGGGTACAATCCGGCTGTGACCTCCTAAGGGCTGTGAGCACAGAATCCGGGCAGCCCTGCTCTCCTGTGGCCGGCTGAGAAGTCTGGGGTCAGGGGACGTTCCCTGATGCCTGGGGACCAGTGACAGCTGTGGACACAAGTCAGGGGCGCTTTACCCCAAGCACACAAACCTTCGCCTCAGCCTCCCAGTCCCCGTGTCTGCTCCAAAAGTTAGGTTAAAATAGAGTGACTTTTGAGCCAGTTTGTGTTTGCCTTGGCACAAAGAAAATCTCTTTGGTCTCAGAAAAAGCTCTTAGGCCAAGTCACACTGTGCGAGGCCAGAGCAAGGGTCCAACAGGTGAACGCTTGCCTCGCAGGCTCAGTCCCCAGAACCGTGAAGGATTCCCTGAGCTCCCCAGGAACTCGGCCCAGAACAGAAGCTCATGTGCAGCAGGAAGGACCCTGGTCCTCAGAGCTTATGGCAGAGCCCCGGGTGTGTTCTGCTCAGGGGTGCTCCTCAGGAAGGGCCAGAGATGCCCAGGGCTTGGGCAAGGGCTGACCCCTGACCTTGGGGTCCACCCAGCGCAGGTCCTGCTGGGTTCTCCCCTGTCATCAAAACCCCCGCTGTTGGGAGGCCCATATTCCTGTCCTGGTGATGTCCCCTCTGGCTCACTGCTCCGGGTGGGCATCTAGCAGTGGACGCTGAGTCAGCGGAGCAGGGAGGGACGAGGAGGACGACTTTCCCCACTGTCCTCGCCCACGCCCCCTCCCTCGCCTGCCTGCCAGGACACCGCCACACTCACGCAATCTGCACGGCCAGCCGATGGCCCCTTTATAGCCGGGCCATGCTGAGCACCTGGTCCCAGGTGCCCGAGCTCTGCCATGCTCAGCCAGCACCCCAACTCTGTGAGGGGTCTTTGCCCCCCTGTGCTTCTGTCCCCTCATCTACTCTCTCCGCCAGCAAAGCCCACCCCAGGGCAACCTCTGCCAGCAACCCCTGGACACCTCCCAGGGCCTGCAGGAGGCTGGACGGGTTCCAGCTACCAACGAAGGATTTTGCTCGCGGTGAAAAGTGCTTCAGACCTACTTGGCAACTGCACTTTCTCCGCTGGTCTAGACCCGTCCCTGGGGTGGCTGGGGAAGAGATGGAGACCCACTGCCATCCCTTCTGCATGTCGGGTTGCCCAAGCGCTTGGCCGCCCGCAGCTCTCTCCATCCCCACAGAGTCTGCTAAAGGCCCCCCACTGAAAAGTCTGAGGCCAGGGAGGTTCCCTGACACCTGGGGACCAGTGACAGCGGAGATTTTGTCCTTAGCAGCCTGACTCCACATCGAGTGCTCTCCTGAACCCCTTTCCGGAGTGAGGAAGGTCTTGCTGAGCTCAGGACATGAATGGTGTTTGAGCCAGCATCCCCTTTCCATGCTGTGACCTACTACGGTTCAACGAAACAGACACCTCTGAAGTTTGTCTCGTTCCCGTGGGCCCCGGGGACAGAGCTCACCCACCACAGCCGGCCTCGTGTTCTCTCGCCACCAGCCCCAAAGGAGCACTTTAGCAGAAATGCCGGAGCTATGACCCAAAGGAAGCACGCCGGCGCCCTGTGAGAGGAGATGACCCAAAGGTCACCCTCTCCTTGGTGCCCAGTTCACTGGTTTCCGGCCCTCCGTGTTCTCTCTCCTAAAGCACGCTGCGATGTTTGGGCTGTCGGGCCTGCCCTTTCCTCCTGTCCCAACTCTCTGTCTCTGCCCCTGATCTCTAAGTGTCCGGGAGCTTCAGATATTGCCCCTCGGACAGGCCCCGAGGCCCATTTGGGGTTTTCTGCTCACCCTAGCCCCCTGCTCACAGGGTCTACTGCGTCTCCCCTCACTGGAGGGCACATCCAGAGAATTGACAGCTTCCCTTTTGTCCCTCATCCTCGTGTGCATGGGAGGTGCCACAGTGATGGTGCTCAGGGCTCGCCCCTGGCTCTGTGCCAGGGTCCCTTTAGGTGGGGCTCAGGGGACCATCTGGTGTGCCAGGGATCAAACCTGGCTCAGCGCCTGCTCGGCGAGTCCAGCTTAATCACTTATATCTCTTCAGTTTTCTTTTATTCTTTCTAGCTCTAGAACCTTCGCCTGACTCATTTCCCATCTCTACTGCATCTGAGGATGCCTCACTATCCCCTTGAGACTACCTCTTCTCTCTACACATTTGAACATCATTATTCGGTGCTTAACATCTTTATCTGCAAAGTATATCTGAGCCGCCTTGGGTTTGCGGTCTTTAATCCTGTTTCGTGACGCTGGATCACAACTTTCTATGGCTCTTGTAGATCTGCTTATAGTTTACTGGATCCGGAGCATTTGGAATAACACATTCCAGAGACTTGCAGGGGGGGTTGTAGATAACAGGGTTCTATTTCCTTGTGAAGGGCATTCGTTCTTACGTCAGTAGCCATCCACCCACTGGTTCATGCCTGTGAGCTTATGTAGACTGAGACTGTTTCATTAGGAAAGAACCATTTTCTCAGACCCTCGGATTTTGGAGAAACTCAACCTGCAAAATTCGTCTGCTTGAGGAGCCCAGAAGAGTTTGA